CCAGGCCGGGTCTTTCGGGAGAGCGAGCTGGGCGCCGCGTTGGTGCTGGGGACGCAAGCTGGGGGTCCCCCACGCTGGACTCTGAAAGCGGGCGACGGGGGTCCTCGATTGGAGGCGAAAGGATATTTCCTGTGAAGGAGAGAAAGCCGGCCGAGGCCAGGCCCGGGGCTCCGGGTGGAGGCGGCCAGGCCGGCTTTGCTGTGGGACGGGTGGGCCACAGCTCGGGAGGGAAAGGCGCGGAGCAGCAGAACGATGACTCATTTACAAGCCGGTCTCTCTCCCGAGACCCTGGAGAAAGCCCGGCTGGAACTGAACGAGAACCCGGACACCTTGCACCAGGACATCCAGGAGGTGAGGGACATGGTCATCACCAGGCCGGACATCGGCTTCCTGCGCACCGACGATGCGTTCATCTTACGCTTTCTGCGGGCCAGGAAGTTTCACCACTTTGAGGCCTTCCGCCTCTTGGCCCAGTACTTCGAGTACCGGCAGCAGAACCTGGACATGTTCAAGAGCTTCAAGGCCACAGACCCCGGCATCAAGCAGGCGCTGAAGGACGGCTTCCCCGGGGGGCTCGCCAACCTGGACCACTATGGCAGGAAGATTCTAGTCCTTTTTGCCGCCAACTGGGATCAGAGCAGGTAAGACCTCAGCCAGACTTGCACTCACGAAGCTTGTATGCTCCCATTTTCCAGAATTTACCCCTAAGGAGAGTCACAGGCTCCCGGCCTTGATGGTTCTGTTTATTTGGTTGGGCCAAAAGCAAAGCTGGGGCTCAGAAGCAAATCTTTGACAGCACCCGGAGGAGAGGGTAGAGCTTTTATTTTTGCTTTTGAAACTCTTCCTTCACTAATACCCAGTTTCCACTGCATCTTTAGTGCTTCCTGAACCATATCATTATGCTGAGATGTAAATTGCTTAACTTCTAAATAAAGCCTCCAAATTCTCATCTCCTAGTAAGTTTTCTGGTCTGGGGGAATGAATATCGTAGGGAATGGCGCCACCTTTTCCTTCCTCCTAGATTCTTAAACTCGACTCATCCTCCTCATCTTCCTCTTGCTTTAGTCCTGATGGTCTATCTCCCGAGAAGAGCCGGGGTGTGCAAACACAAGCAGGTAGTTTTGTCGTGTGGGAACTTTTGTGCTTGGTGACATCTAGATAAAGGCATAATATGATGTGTGTCACTCCAGTGAAAAGGAAGAGCCATCCTCTCTGTCGCAGAGCTTGCCCAGGGACACTGGAAATAAAGGCTGAGTGGTGAGCTTGTTGTACACCTGTCAGCAGAGTGAGGAGTGTGTTTCCTGTGTGATGTGATTTTTCATCCTGAGGAAGTTGAAAAGGCTCTAAGAGAGCCTTTTCCCTGAGAGAGCAGGTAAGCTCTTTCAGCTTGTTTCCTGGGCAGTAAGGGGAAGGCGTATTCTCTCTTCATCTATGTGGTCATAGAGAAACGTAGATCGTGACCCTTGACTCATCAGTCAGAATTCTTTTCTCAGGCTGAAAGATATATGAAATTACAGAAAGCTCTTGGATAAGATAGCTTCAATTAAGTTCAAAGTTAAACGTGTCTCATGGAACCTAAAAATATCACCAGAGCTAAGAATCATAAAGAGCTGTTGCTTAAAACATGGGTGTATTTTTAGTTCTGTGAGTGGTGACTGTGGGTGCATCTGGCTAGTTTTCTGCAGCAACTGCAAATGACTTTTACAGTTATGGAGAGATTTTCATCGATCTTTTCATGTTTCCAGGTAGGGTTCTGAGTTGCTTGGGCTATTAGAATCGAAATTAATATTTTTTAGTATTTCCCCCCTTAACTGACCACTTTCCCCTATAATTGTAAGTTGAAAGCACTTCTGATTTTTTTAGGTACGCATGAGAACAAACCACTACATGAAAAATCTGAAAGCCTTCAGGAAATTCAGAGTTAACCATTAGAAGGGAATGGAATTCCCTTATTTGGGTGGTGATGGAGACCTTACTCTACACTGGGTCAGGAACCAAACTTCAAAGAACTCTCCTTAACCACACTTAAAAAAAAAAGGATTTTAAAATCTGAGACATATATTATCCAATCACACAAAATAATGATTGTGCATTAAAATTGAAAACATTTGACCAAGAACCTAATAGTTCTATTTTAGTTAGATTGCAGCATTTATCTATTTGAACAAAGTAATATGAAAACTGTGGAAATGATAATTTTATTTGTCTTCAGCTCTGTTAGACATATCACTAGAGAGGAGATTCTTTTGGAGAGATATTTGGAGAGACTTTCATTTCTTTCTGTAAATGAAGCAATATTCACACTGATTTACAAACCTAATCGAGATGAAAGTCACAGTTCTCATGCATGTGGGAAGGTGATTATCCTGGATATGCTAAAGAAAATATATTTTAGTTTTCTCTTGAATTCATATAAACACATGTTATTAGCAGTGAAAACCCTTCTGCATCATAATGGTAAGGGATATATTAATTGGTATGTGGAGTTAATTTTATTAAAACTACACAAAGTTATAAAAAAAATATTGTACATTTAAAATTGAAAATAAGAATCTGGGTCCTATAGAAATATTCTGTTAGGACCTGCAGTCTAATAACTGTGAATTCTGTTTCTGTGGTTGGGACAGAACAAGTATAAGCAAGAATTTTTAGTACTTCAAGGTGAAAAGAAATACAAGTATTGTATAGCTTGTCTAAATGTTAGGTTTTTTAAACTCCAGTATTCTTTTAAAAAAAGTTTCTCCTCCTCCCTCCCTACCTTTGTTCCCAAATGTACATACATCAAATGACAGGACCTGGTGAATGCCTACGTCCGCCATCCTGGAATCTGCTGTCCAGGGTACCACGATATGTACACAAGCCATGTCTTGAGCTCTGCCCTGAAACCGGACGGGAGTCTGCTTCTCCAGCCACTGCTTTCCTGCTGTTCTCACCCCGTCCCCTTCTTCCAAGGGAAGTTTTAGTCTGTTCTGCTTGAACTCCAGCAGAGGACTCCACCGCCTTTGCTTTCGTTTACTAGTCACCCTTGCTCTGCTAGGGGCCTGTGCCATGTGCGGTGTCTCTCTCTCCCTCCTCATCCTCCTCTGTGCCAGGGCGGGATTCTCACTCACCTTCTTACCCTCTTCCTGCCAGACCCAAATCCCCCAGGTCTCCAGAAAACTGCAGGATTCTGACCACAGTCCTTTGAGTTGAACAACTTCCTGTTTTGAAATAGAGTGTTGCTTTCAGGAAACAACAGGTGAGCAGTGTACAAGACTGCACAGAGAAGTTCTAGAAATGAAGTCAGAGAAAACGCCCCCCTGTATTTGGGGAAAAAAGAAATTATTGCCAACTTTCTAAGTGCAAAGGAAAAACAAGATTTTATGAACTTTGAAAACAATTGCAAGTTTCCTCGAAAGAATTAATCTGTAGAACAAAAAGATGTTATGTGTATAATAGCACCTGACCTAGAGCAGACAAATATTTGAGTTAGGAATTGTGCAAATTTTTAGAAAAGAATTCTATGTGAAATTTATCTGTTAAATGCTTTCTCCTATATTGTATTTATGGGATAATTATCTGTGCTTCTCAAGACTCTGAAAATAGTAAGTGTGTGTGTGTGTGTGTGTGTGTGTGTGTGTGTGAGAGAGAGAGAGAGAGAGAGAGAGAGAGAGAGCTGGCCACTGTAAATTAAATATAGTATAAATAGGTTCAGATTATTGTAAAGAATTACACAGACTCATGAGGAAGATGAAGGTAAAAATTAGAATGTTTGCAGCAGATCCCTGTTCTAAAAAATCTTATGAAAATAAAGTACTGAATTGCCAAAATGGCTTTCACTGTGGAACTAGTTCTTTTAAAAAGGAAATGAACTGGCTTGGATGATTCATTGAGCAGGCTGTTCTTTGGAAAAGATTCAAAGAATTTTGTCTCCTTTCAGGTTATGTGCATGATTTCTGAGAGTGAAAGTAAGCAGCACAGTTAAAAAGGGCTTGCAGGGAGCGCGGGTCGTGCCTTGCGCCTTCCTAAGCAATAGTGTCTGCTTAGACTCAGTAGAAAACTCCATGTGGCCCAGCAGACTTCATCAGCACAGTGGAACTGGTGGGTGAGCACTGTTGGGCAAGGAAAGGAGAGGGCAGTCTAGACCCCAGGGTGTGAGGACAGGTTTCTGAGAAGTGCGCATTGGCCCATAATCACTGAGAGAGTGAAATGGAGTCACCTGGAACTTGAGGGTGATTGACAGACTGAGCATTGCTCTGGAAGTTGTCAGCAGCCATCGTATTTTACTTTTATCGAACTCATTAAACTCACAAGCTAATTTTCTACACTTAAGTACAGCGAGCAACATTATCTGGAATCCTGTTAATAGCCATTAGAAAATAGTTAAATGTAACTAGCATTAAAGAATTTCTAATATAAATATAGCAGCATTCAGCAAGCACTGACCTTCTTGCTCTGTCTTTGGTTGTAGTAATGGACATGGAACATCATTTACAGTAGTGAAGGGCAGGAAACTGTGGGGGTCCACACTGCTGAGATCCTGCGGCTCATCCTGGAGTCGGCCTGAAACACCCACTCTTGTCTGTTCCTATTGTGTGGCTTTTTCATGAAAATGAAAAGGTATTTGGGTCTTCCGTTTGGTTTCTGACCACAGTTCCCTTTACTAAAATAGTGTGGCCAATGTTCGAAATGAAAGGAGAGTTTGATAAGAATAGCTTGCCATTTAAAAAATAGCCAGAGGGTACACAGACTTGCTTTAAGGCCAGCTACAAAGGTGTCATTCTCTGCAAAGGCAGTGAGATACATAAAATAAATGATCCAAACAGTCCAGGGTAATTAAACATATAATTAGCAAGAAACACTCATAGTAATCTCTGAAAAAAAAAAAGAAAATAAAAAAGGAAGAAGCTTTTGGGCTTGAGTTTTAAAGGACTTATTCTTGCAGTTTATTAAAGTATCAAAGTATTTATCAACTAAAATGTCATTGTGATATATAGTGGTGGAAGGGGTCTTTATATACAAACTTTGGAAGCATCACTGTACTGTGTTATTGGGGACTTTGACTATGTCAAGTCTAGAAATGGCAGGCGAACTGTTTGTGGGCTTTTTGTCCCAGCAGGTTTTCCATAGTACAGGGAGAATTTTTCAAATACTCTGGAAACTGCAGTTGATTTTCAACTTTGCTCTTGATATAGACCATGGTAAACTGGGGAAGGCTAAAGAAGAGTTGTCCTGAGCAATGTTAGGGGGATATTGTGATGCACTTCTGAAAATACAAGATAGTCTCTAAAACCGGGGGCAGTTATGTAGCAATTAGTTCAATAATCCTGAAATAGTAGCAGAAACTGGAGACCTGACCCCCTATAGGTCTTTATTAGCTCTGTCCTGAGCCAGGCTGTTTCCATTTTGTAAATATACAGCTTTGAGGCTGCAAATATGTAACCTGAAGCAAGGCTGAGGGAAAGCAGATATTTGCTGTTGCCATAGTGTTGATAGGATGCCTCAGAAGATGTGTTTAAAAATATCTTAAGACATGAGTGGACGGTCAGTATATTAGCAAATTATTCTCAGCCAACTAATACATTTTCTCCATTTTGAGAAAATATTGACCTCTTTTAATGCATATTTCAGTACTATAGTGAGTGAGTTTATGAGGAAAAGG